TAATCAACAGCACATCTACATTGCTTCTTGTAATGAATGCCCTACAGCTATTCAGTATAGAAAAGCATGTTCTTAGGGATGTTTGGCACTAATCAAATCTTAGTACTCTGACACAGATTTGATGTGTCAATTAAAAAGTACTCAGCAATCAATTTAAATCACAGCTAATTTCTCTTTAGTTGCTATGGTATATCTCTGACAGATTAATGAGTTACAGTTTATGGTGGAACATGGAATCTGTTGTAATTTTTCACTCATTAATTGAACTGCCATAGATATATGCACTATCCTTGCTGCAGTTCAGACCTGCAATAATGCAAAGATTTAATAGAAAAATAGTCTCTTTATTTGCAATAATAAATCATTCCAGTGAAAAGATCAATAATCAAAAGGATGAGCCATTTCACTTCAGTCTAAGTTTATTGATAATTAAGGAAGTTCTTGTCTTTAGATTTAAAATGTGTTCCCCCTCTAGTATTTACCCTTCAATATATTAATTGATGTCAATTAAGTCATCAATCAACTCATAAGTCCTTTGTACTACTGTTTTTTAAAAAAGCAAACTTTTCCTGACTACTGTCACAGAACTGGCTCTCCTGTCCAGTCCTACACCATCCTTTCCTGCACCTTCTTTATATTCCTTTCCTGCACCTTCTTTATATTCCTTTCCTGACCATACATGACTACATGAGGTAGTCATGTATTTTCGAAGAGGCCTCATCATAAATAATCTCGGTAATCATGCAGTTCGAGCTATTAAGCATGAGGAAATACAGGGGAATCCTTCAGATTATACAAACTATGTTTACATTTGATTTATATTTACATGTCAGTGTAAATTTCAAGGGTCTTCTACTTTGATTTTGCAATGACATTGGTAATCTGTGTGGAAAATGACTTACCAATTTGAAGGGCTTACTTAAATTTAGATACTTGAGTTTCTATACTAGGGAAGTGTCATCAAGGCATATAGAAATCATTAGCTGAATAGCTTTTGTTCCAGTCTGAAATTTTCAGTTATGTAAAGGAAAACTAAGGAAACTCCATCAATTTACCCAAAGTAATTAGGTTGCCTAAAGTGCAGGCACAGTGCTTAGGGCCAGTGAAGAAATTTGAAATGGAACGATGTTATTATCACAAAGTAATAATATACCACAGGGCATCCTGTCTAATTATACTAATCAAGGCAGCAATAAAAACATGTCAAAGTATGTTGAAGATGCATAAGGCAACCACAGTGTCTTGTAGAACAAAGACCAAACATATTTTTCATTTACCCAAGAAACAAAATGGAAAATCAAGTAACAAATGCTCTACATATTTCTTCATAGGTTGGTGTACCTAGGATGTTGTGCTGAAATATGAAATTACTAATACTATTTCACTAGCAACTGAATACCTGATAACTCAGCATCTGACAGCTTGGGTGAGCGAGGCGGGGATAAAGGGAGACCGAATAGTCGCATTCCCCATGGGGTGATAAACAAATTCAATAAATTAAATAACTCATTATAGTTATAAAAGTATACTTACTTTGAAGAGGCTCTTCAAGACATTGGTTATTTTTTTAGGCCAGGATTCCCTTGGGTCTTATTTTTCCTGATACATATTCCTCTCTCTTGCAACATCTGCATAAACCATTTAAATCATTCCTCGTTTCCCCCATGACTCTAGTAGTTCTGTCTAGTTCTGCCTGATTTTTACCTGCTAATTTTCATTCCTCAGCAGCAGGTAACCCTGCTAATTTTCATTCCTTACTTCAGTCTTCCTGTGAGCAGCTCTTTCCAGTTCATCTGTGGTATCTTCTTAGGAATAGAGGATCATATCCAGTTTTCATTACAAAAAAGAGCCATAGTTATCAGATTAAAACAAAAAAAATCTTCACAAGAACAGTATTTCTCATGTTGTTTATATGAAGAACAATACAAGAAAAATAAAACCATAAATTTAAAGTGGCTTTAAATTTACTCTGTGTTCACAGAAAGTCCGTAAGATTTTCATGTTAAAATTTTACAGTGAGCTAGATCAAATAAAGCGAGAATCATTTTACAACATTATGCAAAAGATAAGTCTAGATTTCACTTGAATATTTTAGTCAAAATTGCAATAGTATTTGAAACTCCAACAAATAGAGTTCTGGATTATTCATTTATGCATGAAAATTTGATGATTTGATTCAAATGGCAGCATTCAAAAATTATGAGAGTGGGTGATATGCAATGTTCAAATGAAGGGCATATTTTGGAAATTTGCTTTTACGTATCCTTCTCTCATATCTAGAAGGATTCCACATACAGTGCATATTAAAAACTTCATTAAATAAACCTGTGATAATTAGTCAATTAATATCTTCAGGACTTGTGCAGAAGTTTCCATTAGGCAGTCTAGTTATATTCTGTATGCTGTGGGAATATAGTTCTATAGGTATCAGTATAATGAAGAAGAAATTAATATATTCTGTAAGTACCTTAATTTTCACTGTGTGTCAGAAGTTGCTAATCAAAATATTAGTACTGGAGTCCATAATGGCCTCAGTCTCAGCATGAACAAAGCACAGTTACCTGATCTCCCAATTTTTATTTTGTTGAGCCCTATGAAACTAATAAACAGCATCCTGACCCTGTGAGAAAGTTCACCATGTGGCTAAGGGTTTCAAAGGACAGTGGAGCAACTGCAGACCCATAAAGCAATCTCATCCTGTAGAACCAGGGTACAGCAGCTGTTCAGACAATGGCAGCCTTCAGGTTATAGAAGTGGCACTGGAAGTCACCACAACTGA